CCCCAAAACCCCAAAACCCCAAAACCCCAATAGATTGAATTATAAAGTTGAAAAGAAATAATTATAAAATCAAAATTATAATTTTAAGACCAGTTATATTATTTATATCTCACTTCTTTCTCTTTTTTCCTTTGCCTCTCTTCTTCTAGCTTTGCTCAGTTTAAATAGTGTGTGGATCTTCTTGTTCTTTGCCTTTAACTTTCTTTTTATCATCGTTCATATGGTACATATACCCTCGTTTGGCATTTGGATCCTTCTTATATCCCTTGTCCTTCTCATCAACTCCAAATAGACTTGGCTGATTGGTGAATTTTTAAGATACTGATCCTTAATCGATCTCACTAATATCTAGTTCCATCAGATTCCTTTATGGTTGAACTGGGGAATGGAAAGAATTCTTGGCTAAAGGATAGTTCTCCATGTTCTGCTCTATGTTATGATTGGCCTCGTATTGTTTATCATTCAAGTCTCTCATGAAGGTTTCATCCGGTGATTTATCTTATTCTGCATCTAAATTTGCTTCAGTAATCTAATGATTTGCATTATCATAGGACTAGTCAATTCTATCTTAGTGTCTTGGCTCTGAAATAAACATATCATCCATCAAGCGTTTTTGAGAGAATTTCGATGTTAGTTGAGGAGTTCTGTTCTTAGAACCAACCTCTTGACTTGAGTAAGCACTGCTTAGAAGGTCATTCATGAACCTAGCTGTGTTTTTGTAGTTTGCCTTATCTGGCACTGCCTCTGGCATAATCCGAGCTGATAATTACCCTCTATGAGATTTTTTGTTGTTATCGCTTAACTTTGATAAATCAGGAGAGTCATATATGTTTTTGCTTCTAAATTCAGGAATCTTCTTCATCATATGCATTGGGAAATCTAATCCCACCTCATTTAAATTTATTGGATTTTAAGGCTCATCGCTTAGATCATGCTCTTTATAATTAGATTGACCCATAAAGTAGTCACTGCTTTTGTGTTTTCTTTACTTACTCTTACTTACAGGTTCATCGAATGAAGACATCATAGAGCTCTTCCGATTTGAGACTGTGTATTCTTTTTTACGCTTAGAGTCTTTGCTCTCTTGAAAAATATTTGAAAAGTCTGACTTATCTCCATCATTGATAAAACTCTTGATTGTCTTGTTTTCATTCTCTCCATTTTCATTAACTTTGTTTGCTTAAAAGGATCTATTCTCGGTTGTCATATGTTTAGCTTAAAAATCATCTTCTTTGTACATACCACAAGACAGGATCTTGAAAATCTTAGCGTTCTTCAAGTAGGCCATTTTCAAAATTTCAATTCTCATGTGATTGAGCCAATAGATTAAGAATATAATGTTTGGAGCGATAATTAGGATTAAGAAGAACCATCTTAAGCTATTATTACTCATGTAAGCATAATGAACACCAGTAGCGTAGTACATTCCCCCATACATGGTAATGCAAGCTACTTGAAGAGAAAGAGTTTCCATTTAGTTGAGAGTAGTTGTATAAAACGGTCCAAACTTGATTTGGAACAGGAGACTTATAATGATAATAAGGATGACAACTTAGACTTAGGCCTCGCTTGAAACAACAGAAAAGAATACAGTAGTCATTACAATAAAAATCTTTCTGTATAGAATCAGCACTTCCCAATAATAATGCTTTATCACATAACCGTTAAACAGGAATCCGTATTTCATCTTTAGATTAATGAGCTAGAACTACTCACCTTTAGCGAGTTCTGCCAGCTTGGAAAGCTTCTATATCTTTTGTTTATTTCTCAAAAGCATTAGTAAAGCTGCCATTGGAATTCCAAAGACCCAAATTATTATAGCTGGAATTACAACGACTAAAAGATAAATTAAATGCTCGTCTTCATAACAGATCATTTAAATATTGTCTTTTAATCTGTTTATCCCATCAACATCAATGCAATTAAAAGCAGAGAAGAATACTTTAGCCAAATTAGGATGAATCAAAAACAAGAGCACAACCATAGTACTAATAAGTTTATTCTTAACTTAGCTGAAATTTCTCCCTATAATACCTAGTAATCCCCAAAAAGCACAAGAGCAAATCGCAAGTATAAAAGGCAATAGCGCAAAGAATATCAATTTTTGAAGGTATATGTTGGATTGATCTGAATTTCCTGATTGCTATAAGAAGCAATCAAAAGAAAAAATCTCCTGCGTGAAGCCTGTAACTGATGATTAGCCTTGTTAGAATGATTATATTTCCTTAGGCCAACTATAATCAATTGTTGCTATAGCACTAATCATCTAAAAATGATTGGTAAGAATCTTCACATATACAGCATATACTGGTTTAGCTTTATCGGCACTATTAATGTTTGATCTTACTAGGAAAGAACAAACTAACACTGCGACTAGGAGTAATCCTGCAAACTAAACAGCATTTGCAGTTGGATTAGGACAGATTCCGCATTTGAACTAACCTGTTTTCTTAAAACCAGGAGAACAACCTCCACACATGGGTCCTGTGTATCCAATAGAGCAATTTCCAATTGGATCTGTCTCTGAACCACCTAAACAAGCGAATTCATTCGGACACTCAATGAAATTATTAGAGACATTTGAGGATCTCCAAAAGCCAGGCTTTGGAGCTACTTTGTATAGTCCGTAGCATATTGCCCTGTCTTTGTTGCAAGTTTCACAGTCCATTTCTCCGTTTGCTTTAACATATAAGAACTCTCCAAAGACACACTTTTAGCAGCTTTTATCGTTTGTGTATTTTTCTCCAAGCATACACTCTCTAGACTAAATGTTGATTATAATTGGATTTTTGATGAAGGGAATTTCATTTGCGTAGGTGACAATGCCTTCTATCGTAAGTTTCAGCTAGGCTGATGTACCTGGCTCTAGATTTATCTGAACATTGCTAAAGTTATAGACTCCTAATTCAGCATTGACTTCCTAGTTCTACAGTAGCACATCAGGAGTCAAACTTTTCAAAGTTGCTACACTTTCACTGTCCGAAGTGTAGATATTCCCATCCATGTCCAGAATGTAAATTATAAAGCTAAACCCAATTCCAGACACAATGCCAGGGAATGTGATGACTTAGCTATCCAACTATCGCTAGCCTCTTTTGGGCAACTATACATGCATAAAATTAAGTCTTAACTCCAGGTTTTCTCTGAGTAATCTGCTTATATTCTTTGTTTCGTTCTTCTGCAAAATGCTAGCTAGATAAAATAAGGTATCATTCTTTATTGGAGCTAGGACATCATTGTTATCTATAAATTATACGATCAGGGAGTTAGCATAGTTTCCTCTGTTTGAACCATACTAAGCTACATTGTTTTCAAACTTAGAAGTACCATCCTCTATGAGTGGATTGCCCTGCCACTAAATAGCTCCTCCATCGTCTTGAGCCTCATTTTGCTAGAAAATATTCCCCCCTCTTAAGGCAATGATACAGTTATTGTCCAATTTAGCAGCCTCGTTAAAACAGTCTATATTTAATGCGCCTCCTAGTCCTTTTTGCACTAATTTTTAGCTAAGTGAAGTTTCCTAATTGAATCTCTGAGCTTTATTTCCAATGAATTTATTTCCTCTGAAAGTCAGGTTAGCTGCATCACTAATCTTAACAGCTCCACCATGATAGGCTACATTGTTTGAAAATGTTGAATTTGTTATGTCGAAAAGACTGTTCGAAGCTGTTGAGGTAATATAAAGTGCACCTCCTTCCAAAGCTGATAGATTTTTGAAAGTTGAGTTTAATATCCGCATATTCTTGCAACTGCAATAGATTGCTTTGCCGTTTGTGTCTTAATTCCAACTGTTTTAAAAGGTCGAGTTAATGACATTCAGATTTGCCTCTGTTGCTTTTATAAATTATAGTGATCCATATTCGAAGTATCCATTAGTTAGATTCACTGCTGCATTTTCAATGACTATATCATTCTGTGTGTTGTTAATGAACTAAACATATGAAATTGAAATCGTGTCTGTCATGGTAAAGAACAAAGAACTGCCACTTAGAGAGGCAGAGTTCAAAATTTTAGAGTTGCCATCAATCACTACCTAGCTGTAGCCAGTAGCAAATAAAACTGAAGCGATTGATCCTCTGCAGTTTTGGAATACAGATCCCCCAGTCACTTGGAGTTTGGATTAGAAATTGAGACTTAAAAATCCAGAGTCCACATTATATTGATTTTCCCATAGAAATTGAGGAGTAGTGTAATTCACAGTAATATTAGACATTTTAACATGAGAATTAATCATAGTGATTCCGTTGTTGATTTTATTCGCAAAGTTATTCAAGAACTAAGTGTTAGAGATTTGAGATTTGGACAAAATAAAGTTAATTAGGTTACTGTCGTGGGTGTTATTCAAAAATACTGAGTTCTAAATAATGATGTCTTTATTGATATTGTTCAAAGCAAATATTCCTGAAGAGTCCATTGCATAGTTTTGATTGAATAGACATTAGTCAAAAGTTACTTTAGCATCTTCGTAGATGTATATTGTTCCTTTTTTGCCAGCTCTATTATTCTAGAAGGTACAATTATTGAACTCAACACTTCCACTACTTGATGCTCCTATAGCAGAACCTCGAACTAAAGCAGTATTGTTACTTAGAGTGAGATTAGTAGCGATGAATTCATCTGCAATGTAAATGTAGATCACACCATACTCAGTGACAGTATTATTTCTTATTACAGTCTTTGCGTCGTACTTTGTATTAAATATCCTCATTACTGTTGACTCTTCAGCCATTATTGCTGCTCCATGCTCTGCTCTAAGATTGTAAAATGAACAATCAATAAAGTCAGAGTAATACTCATCACTAGTCCTCACTAATTCACTCAAGAAATAGACATTTTTAGAATTTATGGATTTCTTTAGGAAAACTTGCCCTGAATCCTAGATGTTCTAATCAGTAAGGTAGTACATATACTTGTAGTCAATGAAATCATAAATGTCAAAGTTTCTTCTCTTGAACTTAGAGACTATGTAATTTGTGAGATTGGAATGCCAGGCATCTTAGAAGAAACTACAATTCTTAACAATTACTGCCCCGCAAGAATCCAGATAAAATGAAGCACCCGTTTTGGCTCTGTTATTTCTAAAGGTGGAATTGTAAAACAGTACGCTCATGAAATCCTCATCATGTGGTTCTAAACTATAAGTACCGAAGATTTCATTATTAGAGTAACTCACATCTTCTTCAATGAATTTCAATGTTGTCTAGTCATTCTAATTTCTTGAAAATATTACTGCCCCTTCATTTGTTGCGAAGTTGTATTCATACTTGTTTTTCTGGAAGAGTGCAAATTAGCCATCAATCCTAAGGGAATAGACAGCACCCATAAAGGCGAAATTAAACTGGAATTAATTGTTTTGAAACCGATGATAGTAACCACTTGGGAACTTTTCCATTCCACTCAGATAAAATATCCCATATTTCTAAAACATCTGATAATTGAAGCTATCAAATGGAAAATAGTAGGAATCTACTAGTTTTGCCTTATGTTCTACTTGCTTCGTCAAATATCCATTGTTGGTGCCAGTTGTGTTTACCACTGAAAGTAAACCCTTGAACAAGTATATTAGTGATGACTCATTCCCTCTAAACTAATTGTCAGAGATTATACAGTTCTCTAGATTAAGCATGGGCGCAAATTTATTGCCATAATTATAGTAGGAGATAAGCGAAATTAGAGAGCCATAATATTACTTATCAAAGCTCAATCCCAAAATCTAGATGTGCTAATTCTTGGTAAATGTACAATTTTTGCAAGTAGTGCTGAAATTTAAGATCTATGTACCTGTTATTGCTTTTGGATTTATAGTGATTCTGACAATGGGTGCTTAGTGAAGTTTAAAGTATATATTTGGGAAGAATTGACCAAGTTTGGGTGCGAGACCTGTGATGTAGTACATATTACTATCTGAATGATTGACGAAGGCAGTATTTTCAATGATATTATTATATCCCCCGTTGATGTACAATGAAGATGACAAATCGTATGGTAGATGCTCGTCAAGATAAGGTCCTGCCTCATTGTTGACAAAACTGCTGTTGTAAATAAGTAACTGTTATATACTTGAGCTATTCATGCACCAAACTTCATCACAATGCCAGACATGAAGGGCACCTCTAACTTGAGACCAATCAATTCTCTCTTCTATTTTCCCACAGAAATTTATATAGTTGAACTCCTCGAAGCAGGGACTATCAGGAGCAATAAATGTCAAAGGTCTATTAGAAAATCGCTGAGTATAAGGTGAGTATTACTGCTCTAAATAACCGACAACTGGCCCATTACCTTAAAACAGGCAACCCTCTATTCTTATTTTACTGATAAACCTGAGATAGACAGCAGTTCCTTTTTAACCAGAGTAATTTTCGATAAATTTAGAGTTTATAATCGCAAATTAAGCTTGAAATAGAGTATACTGCTTTTCAACATTTATTATGCTTGAGATTTATGTTGTCATATTGTTGAAACTATCGTTCTTGATTAATGATTAGAAGTATGCAGATGTGTGCTAAAAATCATCATGATTTGATTTATCAATATAGACACAAGACCCTGCTATTGCGCCACCGTTATGAGCTTTCATTCCAATATTTTAAGTGAAATCTGATTTTTCTATGTGAACTCCAGCACATATTGCTGAGTAGTTTTAAATTTTTATGGTATTTCTAATGTAGATAGCATTGCCCGAAAAATAAGCTAGATTATTATTAAATTAATTCCCGGCAATGTATATATAAGAATTATTTCCTTTCTGCCAATCAGGAGAATTTATTGTAATAGCTCCTCCAAATGTTCCCATATTGCTTTTGAAATTGCTGTTGGTAATTATTACAGGATTCTTATTTCGAGATAAATAGATTAAACCTAATCTCTCAAATTTGTCGAAATATAAGTCCATGTCATCATTTATGGAAATACCGTGATGAAACAGATATTCATCACTTTGCTTATCCTCGTTACAGATTGTAATTTTATATTCTTTCGTCCTGTAACTGTCCTTAAAGTGATCATAATCTCTTATTAAACCATTTTTATAAGGCCTTATCATAATTTCAGGAATAAAGTGAAAGTTATTTTAAAAATCACAATCATCTATTTCCACAGGGCCATTGAAATCTTCAACATTCAAGACTATTCCTTTGTGTACGAATGAGTTATAGTGGATCGATTCTAAACTATTTAATCCTTTATACGATCTTATAGGCGTCATGCCATCATAAATAGCAAGTGCTGTGACATTTGTTAAGAAATTAAGATTAGAAAATTAAGAACCACGAATCATGATAAAAGAGCCCTCATCACTGTAAGTAACATTAGGTTGAAGATGATGAGTAAAATTAACAAAACTTCTGATGTTATTGATATAGAGCTGTTTTCTAAAAGTTATCATACCTAGACAAAACCTTGAATTTTTAAATGATGAATCTATGATTTCTATTTTAGCTCCCCTGAAACCTCCATAATAAGAGAAAAAGTCCATATCTTGTAAAATAGTTTTGCCATAGACAGTGATTGGATTTTACTTTGCCAATCTCATGATATTATTATTCTCTATATTAATCAAATTTGTATATCCACCAATGAACATTGTGAATTCGCATCCATTGATCTTAATATAAGGAGGTTGCTTATATACAGTATTGTAATCACCAAAAGCATAAAGATTAAAAAGAGTCGATTTTCTCTTGCTGTATATTTAGTCTCCTGGGTTTATCCAAAAGAAATCGTTAGAACTAATGTCTCCTGAGCAACTAAGTGAACTTTCTTAATTCTTAGAAAATCTCTTATAGCCATTCGTAATGCATCTAGGTTATATTTCCAAGGTCTTTGGAATGTTTGATTTGGCATACCACTAGTCTGTACACTCATATTTCAAAATGCTTGTAGTCAAGTTTACATTAACTTTTTAGAGATATATCGGTTTGTCTCCCAAAGCTATTTAAAACTATAAATCACAGAGTTTGATAGGTAAAACACTGTAGTCATAAGAGGGATTGTTCGGTTTGGCAAAAGCATTAGTTCCTTAAAAAATCAAGTTTTCAAAATGCATTTATCCAGTGATATTAAATAATGCATTCTTGTTATTAACATTAATTACAGGTTTCTACATGTTTTCTTTGTTAATGCACATATTGTAAAATTCTTGATTGTTTGGATAGCCTAGACTACGATTTAGATCGCAATATAAAGGCATGATTGTTATGTTTACGTTATCATTAACTTGATTGGGCTTTTCTAAATTTAACAAGGAACAGTAGTTTACAAATTGAGTCATTGTAGAATCAGCAAACAATGGAGATTCATCCCCGTCACATTAAAAGAAAAAGTGCTCACCTTTGCCAACATAAATAACAACATTAATTTTGGTCAAATACAAAGTTTAATGATTTTAATGAGCAGCGTTTATTGCTTCTTAAATGAAAAAGAATGATTTTTAGACAGTCAAGCCCAAATTTTGAGTTGGGTTATACACCAGGTCACTCTTTAAAATTGGAGCACCAGACCTTACAAAATAGATGAAATTTCCAACTGTAGTTTAAGGTTTACATCTGCTTGTTTGACTATCAATCTATTAAGGTAGATATCCACCTTGACATAAGGTACATTCCTAGACTCCTGCATATGAGTGAGTACAAATGCTACAGTTTGCGATGGTCGACTTTTAGCATACTTTTCGAGATGAATCCTAAATGAATTATTATAATTATGAAACCTAAACTTACTCTACAGTAGCCAACAGGACAAGCATTTAGCACACAAAGGCCCTACTTTAAGCCAGTTTTATGATTGAAGCCATCAGGATTCCAATAGAAATGTTATTGGCAAATTGTGCATTGACTGGAGCTGCATGATGCACAGTTCGGGAATTTTGAATCGCATGATTGGCAAGTTTTGGTGTCTGAATTGTAGAAATCAGTATAAGAACAGGCAGCAACTTGAGTTCCAATGCTTTTACAATCTCTCATGAATATATCTAGTTCTGATCTTTATGTTATGATATTATTATTGGTACCAACTGTTGAACATGCAATACAGCCTTAGCTTCTGCTATAAATAGATTATAGGACAAAATCATTTGTTTCTTATAATAATTCACATGAGTTGCATATTACAGTGCCTGATTTATTGAAGTAATGACTACAGTTAAAGCAATATGGCTTAAGATCTCCAAATCTAATATACTAGGAGAAAATAACATTGTTTTATGTCTGAATTGTGCTTTCATAAGGATAGTCTGTGGTCTCTATTTGGCAAATAGTTTTTCCTAGATTTTAATCTACTGAAGTCTTAGCACATATAGTCGAAGTTTCATTATATATAAGAAGATTATAGCCATCAGCGCATGAAGTGCAATATCGAAGGTCATTATTAAAATAACTGAGGCAGCTTGCTGATTAGACTACACAGGTAGTTGATGCGAATATCAGAATCAAGAAGATGTATACTCTTGAGTTAAAATATATGATTTTATTCTAGTCGGTATTTATAGAGAATTTACTTTTTTCTTCCATTAGGATTAATGAAATCTATAAATATTCTTTACAAATTTCAAATTTTCTTTATTTTAATTCCCTTTCAATAACTTGGGGTTTTGGGGTTTTGGGG